AAGATTGCTTAGCTTCAAGAGAACAGAATCAAAAGGGCCTGAAAGATTGCAATTGGACAAGCTCAACACTCGCAAATTGGGCAAGGATGATGATAAGGCCTGGCACCACTCCTTTCCCTGTGCCGATATCTTTACACCATCAAGAAGAAGTTCTCTAAGTTCAGTGAGGTTCTGAACAAGCCCTGACAAATTTGGGTTCTCGAGTTTCAAAGGAAGAATAGCAGGGAAAAGGGTTGAGAGGTCAAGAGTAACCAACCTCGTCATGCTTGAAAGTTCAATTGGAATTTGCCCAGCAAACCCGGCATTTGACAAATTGAGGTATGTCAAACTGGTGAGGTATCTGAACGTCTCCGGAATTTGTGTAAAGTTGAAGTTGTTATTAGCCAAATTGAGACTCTGAAAAGACACAAAACTGAAAAGAGCACTGGAATTGTCGAATCCACCAGAGATTGATTCGCTGTTGAGGTCCATACCTATCACTCGACCAGTAGTGTTGTCGCAACTCACGCCACTCCAATGGCAGCAATCGGTGCTCTGATTCTGATTCTGATTCCAGTGTATGAGCTTGGTGGAAAATGAAGAATCGAATTTGAGGCTGTTCTTCAATTGGACTAACAGCGATGGCTGATCGTTGAGACATTGGCCAGAAACAAAGTCTGTGTTGATGCCAAACAAAATTGTGAATAAGGGTATGAAGAAAAGGAGTAGAATTCTCATTGTACGCAATACGCCCACGCTTAGGAGTGAGTGAAAATAAGAGGATAATGAAAGAGTGACCCATAATGTTGAACTTATTGGCTTTGTGGGTTCAGACTTTAGACCACACCACACGGCAGTGACTAGGAATAGGAGGAGGAAGAAGAACAGTGTGGTCAGAGTCAGGAAAGAGACATCAAATTAAACTGAAGCTTCCTCTTTGATATCTAAGACGACCCACATGACCTAACCCGCAATTCAAATTTGCTTGATTTCTTTTTTTATTAGGAAATTTAAAGGAGTAATGGTACAATGTTGAGTCAGTTTTTATTGGCGACTCAATGATGAACAGTGTCCAATAGGATAATGGTACAATCTCAGTTTTTATTGACTGGACTTAATGAACAGTGTCCAATAGGACTCTTAGGGTATCTCCAATATAGAATTGTTAAATTCGGATGTCAAATCTATATTTTGACAGTGTTACAGTGTCAAAATGCTACATTTTAGTAATTTTACACCAATGATGCATTTTATGCAAAATGCTAATTTTTGACACAATCACTATTATTTTTCAACTACCATTCTCACCATTCATATTTGCATCAATAATATTAATATTAGGCACATTCCAAGTCAAGTTGTAGACATTAGAAAGAAATTAAAATTAAACCTAATTAAAAAGAAGCAAAAATTTAAAATATCTAGTCAAAATAGGACAAATAAATAAATAAATAAATAAAACAAAATGATTTATGGACTTCTGTTGCTGATGGTGTCAAATGAAATCTCAATAACTAATAAGAAATTGACAACTCATCACCTTATCACAAACAGACAACTCCAAATTTATCCTCTCCACCTTTTCAACTATCTCCATCTCTTCGCATCATCTTTCAATGCCTTTGTCAGAATAAAGACAATCTCTAAATAAAAACAATCAGCGACCATGGATTTCGATTTCGGCGAAATTTTTTATGTTTCTCTCCAATGCCATCTCTACACTCCTCTCTCTCTAGCAATTTACTGCTTCACAGACATCCTCATTGGCAACCGTGGCACCCATGGATTCCGACGAAATTAATCTTTGTTTCTCTCTAACACCATCTTTGCACTCTTCTCTCTAGCATTGGTGAAATTTTTTATGATCTTTTTAAAATATATATATGTATACAATATACATATGTGTGTGTGTGTGTGCGCCAAATCTAAGCTCCGCCTTTCTCTCTCTCGCTCTCTTTCTTTGAAATAATAGTAGCTATTTCTTGTGCTACAATTGGTAAAACTTTTGACAAAGTTAAAAATTGACAGTCATTTTAACATTGCATTGGAGAACCCCTTTTGAAGTCCCCTTGTTATATTTTAGAAATGACAGACGTTTTAGCATTGAATTGGAGATGCTCTTACACAGTAATTTTTAAAGTAGTTTGCCAAATTTATAAAAATTAATTCAAACTTTTTTTCTATTTTCCAGTTTAAAGAGATCTTACTGTAAGTACACATATACAGTTGCATAGCGTGAAAAATAATTATTATTAATTTTTTTTTTACGTAAATGAAATAGAACTAGAGTAGCCTAAACGTTGGAAATAGAAACATTAATGACGAGTCTCCCAAGGCAGCGGAACAATAATTGACGTAGTCCACTACGAGAACATTCTCCACATGCAGCTTGCAGGATTTGTCTTAGTAGTTTTATGTCTAATTCAATACCAAACCAATGTCCTTCCACAATAAGGAAAATTTTAAAGTTGAATATTCTTTCAGGTTCCACCGAATTGATTTATGAAAGTGACATGCTCACATTCTTCACATTTTGGAGGGAAAATAGCAAAAAGTTTGTTTACCAAATGAAATTTTTAGTGTGACGGGCAAATACTTCTTTACACTTTGATATTCCTTCTCAGATGCCAGTAACTAACTTTCTTGAAAAATAAGTCATCATTACCATATACTAGCCGTCCAAGGAGCGATTATGTTAAATAACTCGATTTATTTGACAATATTTAGTTAATCTAGATGGCATGAATTCTACAATAAAGAAATAATATATTTATAAATAAAAATGATATTTATAAGCATCAAATGTGCCACAGCCCCGGGGGCTTGGAGCAATTGGGAAGTCTTTAAGTGGCCACACACACGGCCTGGCATCGATTCTTACCACTACCTTTATTACCTCCGGCTTACCTGGTATAAAAAAAATGTGCCACAAATTATTCTTAATTTTTTTTTTTTATTAATGTCAGACTTGATTTTTTTATTATTATTATTTTTATGTAAATTAGGGAGAGGAGTATTAAAACACGGTGCACCAGCTCAAAAAATTGAATGCTCTATCAACTAGGCACGGAGTATGCCCATTTTATTATTATTAGTTTTCTATGAGTTTTCCCTCTCAGCTGTTAATGGAACAAAGTCTAATGACTGCTCAATAATTATACTTGACATGGAAACTTTCTAAAAATCTCCTCGACAAACTTACACATTCACACTAACTTGCTAGGACAATTAAGGCTTAGAAATTAACATCAATCACATTCTATACAGCTTCCAGGAAAATGGTAGAAATTGTCCATAAGAATTTTAATTTGAACATAAGAAAAAAAATAATAATAATAAAATATAATGTTTTGGTTAACATTACTGCTACAAGGAGAAAAAGGAAGAACAGTTCAAATCACCCACTCCATGGAAAGAGACCTGTAAATGTTGCAGCAGCATCTCTTGTCTACTCCCTGACAAGTTATATAAATTTTACACTCCGACGAGTACCATTTCTTTGGCTTCCATGAAGCTCTCTTTGCTCACTCTCCAACCCTCCAATCCTCCCACTTTTGAGTAGAATTCTCATTGGACACAATACACCCACGCTTAGGAGTGAGTGAAAATAAGAGGATAATGAAAGAGTAACCCATAATGTTGAACTTATTGGCTTTGTGGGTTCAGACTTTAGACCACACCACACGGCAGTGACTGTAAACGTTATAAATGCAAAAGACTTGAGAGGACTAGAAATAGGAGGAGAAGGAAGAAGAACAGTCAGAAAAAGAGACATCAAATTAAACTGAAACCGCGTTTTGTATTTGGCAATTTTATTTTCCTTATTCCTTGTGCGACAAATGACTTCGAAGCCTCCCGTCTTTGATATCTAAGACGACCCTTCCTTTCATTAAGGGGCCACCCGCAATTCAGATTTTTTTTTTTTTTTTATCAGGAAATTTAAAGGAGTAATTGTACAATGTTGAGTCAGTTTTTTTTGGCGACTCAATGAACAGTGTCCAATAGGATAATGGTACAATGTTAGAGTCAGTTTTTATTGACGACTCAATGAACAGTGTCCAATAAGACTCTTACACGGTAATTTTTAAAGTACTTCGCCAAATTTGTAAAAATCAATTCAGACTTTTTTTTTCTCATTTTCCAATTTAAAGAGATCTTACTGTAAATACACATATACAGTTGCATAGCGTGAAAAATAATTATTTTTGTTTTAGGTAGATGAAATAGAACTATAGTAACCCATACGTTGGAAATAGAAAATTAAGTCACTGCTGCACATAAAATAGTTGCTTTGGACTCCCCAACGAACCATAACCCTGTTCGTTAGGGCATCGCCATTGGACTCTCCGAATTTGTCACATCAGCATTTTCTCATAGCCACCTCAACATTTCTCATAACCACGTCAACGTTTTAGAATCTCCAAATTTTAGTTATCGGATGTACTCCAATGATGCATTTTCGCTCTCCAAAAATGTTAATATTTTAATATTTTTTAAATTTTTAATAAATTTTATTTTTAAAATTTTTCCTAACGGTTATATCATAAAAAAAATTTAAATAATAGAATATTTATTATTAAAAACAATACGATACGACATAAATTTAAACAATACAATAAAAATAAAAAACAATACAATACGACTTGAATTAAAAACATAAAACAACTAGAAAAAACAGAATAATCATATGGAATGCTTGAGATAATCATATGGAAAGCTTGAGTTGCCACGTGCGCGTATAGATGCCAATATTTCATTTTGGCGTTCAATTAGCCATGCTTTCCTGGCTTATGTTGGCATCGATTCTAGATCTTTTTGCATGATTAACATTTCTTCAGCTCTTTGTTTGTTTTCAATCCTCTTAGTTTGCTTTGAAGTTCGAGTTGTCTGGTTTTTTTTTTTTTTTTATCTGCTTTGCGTGCCTCTCGTTCTATTTGAGCGGCCTCAAGAGTTTCAGATTGTCTTTAATAAAGGGTTGTTGCATGATCGAATTTGCTAATGAAATTATTCTGACTTTTAGATTATCTTTTATCCTTATTTCGCCTCTGCTTCGCTGCTTTTTGTCCTTCTGGTCGATGACATTCTTCAATATTCATCGGATCATTTTCGCTTATGTGCGCCGATCCTTCAACCGAACTTGGTGTCGTTGCTGCATTACTTGATAGAGTAGATGGGTTTGAGTGACCAATAGGCTCACTATCATCAATGTGGATTCCACTCCTCTTCTTCGGCTGTTTTTTTTTTTTTTTTTTTTTTTAATGTCAATTCTTTTTTACTATGTAAATGCCACTTATTGTTGCTCTTCAAATTGTTCCAACAACTGTCAAACTTAAATTTTGTGTTATTTTGACGAGCAAACAACTCTTTCGCTGCTGTCATCTAAAAAAATAAAAATCAATAATTATTAGAAGATAAATCTTTAAAATATCTTCCAATTAAATTTAATATAATAAATAACTTACCTTGTACTCATTGTCTTGTCCACTGAGGTAATTCCTTTCGATCTGGGCCATGCATCCAGAAAATTTGGTAATTATTTGTTGCATAATGGACCAACGATTCAAGCAGGCGATATGATTTCTTTTAGGTGTACCAGCACCATTAACGTGTTGCTCAAAACTTTTTTGAATTCGAATCCATAACGCTGCCTTTTGTTTGTCTGAACCGATGACCGCATCAGTGCTAATGACCATCCACGCATAACATAAAGTCTCATCTTCAACCGTGGACCAATTAGGAGGCCGAATAGCCTTTGCTTTCTGAGAGGTTGGGAGTTACTGGATTGTGGCACTTGAGTAGGAATGTTGGAAACTTGAGAAGGTTGATGAGACGGAAATTGAGATTCATATCCAACAAATTGAGATTCTTCTCCAACAAATAAGAAATGATCAAAATTATCATTTGATTGGTTGAATTAGGAATTGTAGTTGTTATATGGTGCTGGGGGATCCATGAAATTAAACTTGAGTAAAAAATATAACTAAAAGATTGAGAAAATGACTTAGTGGTTGTAATTATAAGTTGAAAACTAGAGAAGATGGGTTGGATATGAGGTGAATAATAGTAGGGGTTGATGTATTTATAGAGGAAAAATGAAAAAAAAAAAAATTAAATATATATATATATATAATGAATTTTTAAAAAAAAAAATCAAAAAATAGGTTTTTGTGTCAATATAGCCGTTAAGACACTATTTGGGTCAGCCAAACAGTGCCTAAAACGGCCATATGTCAATAGGAATATTTTTAAAAGCAAATTTTTTTAAAAAAAAGCACTTATATCTATTTTTTTTTAACTTTTTTTGTCCAAAAAAACCTTTAAGGCACTGTTTGTGTCAGCCAAACAGTGCCTTAACGGCTCTTTGTGTAACGACCCTAAACTGAATACCGAAAATAATAAAAATTAAAAAAAAAAAAATTTCGGCATGACCTCAGTTAAAAATGGTCCTACAACAACCTGTTGAAATAAATAAATAAATAAATAAAAACAACGGCCTTTCAAGATTTATCCAACCTGCCCCAACACACAATACAAAAGAAATATAATGTATTCCCCAATATCACAACATCAACGACCTTCTCAAATTAGCCCATCAACGTCATCCCCTTCAACTTAAGCATTTATATGATCTCAGTTTACAACAAAAATAATCAAGTATCTTAGTTATATTACAGTGCAATGGTTTGTAAAAATAAATACTCTTTTACATAGTTGAGACGATACAAAAAAAGAAATGGGTTAAGATACAAAAGATAACAAAATACAACTCCTAATCTTCTTCAAGCTTGCGAGAGATTGTCATCCTCCACTTCTTTTCCGAGCCCTGAAAAATGTTAAATAATAGGGGTGAGCAAAATTGCTCAGTAGGTAGTGCCTAGGACATACCTCTTAAGACCCCGTGAATCCACATAATGAATAGGAATAAGGAAATTAGGATCATACCATGCCGGGAGTAAAAGTATAACTATGATACCACATCATTAATCCAACACCACAAATAAATATGCCATGCACTGAAATGTCGTGCCATGCAATGTCACTCCCCATTTTCCCAAAACTATTTCCATTATCATTTCCAAACCGTTAGTGAACCCGTCCCATGGCAACTCCATGGCGACACGAGAGGAGGATTGGCCACTGTCCTTGACCCATGGCAACTCCATGGCGTCATTTGGGGCCCAGGTAACTCAACCACACTAGGGCGGTCTCCCTAATCCCCTCTAGGCCTCACAAACGCCGCGGTCCCTAGGCAACTCCTAGGCGGTCGGGTTTTTCACAAAAATCATTTTCTATCAAAACTTTTCACCAAAAATATTTTCATTTCCGTTTTCAAATCAATTTTTCCATTTCATTGCCCAATGTCATGCTTGAATGTCCCATATATTTCAATGTTGTGCAAATAGGGAAATTTCATGCATTTCAAGTAAATAATAAAAAATGAGCATATTATACAAAAATTCCCTAAGTATAATTCATACTTTTTTTTCACAAAATTCAACACTAAAGGCAACATGGGTATAAAATTATCATCAATTAGATCATTTACTAAATAACACATAATCACATGCTTTCACAACATATATAAAGAACATTGTATGGAAAGTTCACAAATTAAGCATGAAAAATCACAAATTTGAGGGAAATGACAACCCAAGAAATTATGGATTAGGAACTCCTACCTCAAAGGAGGAGAAAACCCCCAAATTTTCACCACAAACCCTCAAAATGGGTCTCAATTTTCGGACTCCCTAGGTTGCTCAAAACTGAAATTGCTGGTATACACATGTAGAGCTTGTCGTGTTCTTCGTTTTGCCTCAAACGGCACTTAAAAACATTAAGAAATGAGGGAGGAATCAACAATTGAAGCTTTGAAGAAAAAAAGAAAAGAAAATGCTGAGAAGATGGGAGAAACAGACCAGCGGGGAGAGAGAGTGAGGAAGCAGAGACCAAAAATGTGGTCTTATGACCGCTTAGTAAAATTGCGGGTCCCACAGCTATAATAAAAAAAAATCTTCTTAACACACACACACACACACATATATAAACCTTAAAACATTACACTTTGGTTCAATTATTTTGAGGGAAAAAAAATACCAAAATCAGCCCAAAAAACTAATTTTTTCCTTTTTTTTTCCAGCGAAACAGGCCTTACCAAACAGTGTTCTGGGCTAAAACACTATTTGGGCCAGAATTAAAAAAGAAAAAGAAAACTGATGCAGGCCTGCAATTCGCCAAACCAATCTTGGTTTTTAGCGACTTGGATCAAGATTGTCTTAATGGGGCCCACTTTTGAAAAGTCCATTGGAGCAGCCCAGTCTTCAAAATTGGCCTAAAATCGTCGAATCACTCACCATTGTACCTGCTCTAAGGGCATCTCCAATGGACTCTCTAAATTCAGACTCTCCGAATTTGCCACATCAGCATTTTCCCATAAGCACGTCAACATTTCCCATAGGTACGTCAGCGTTTCAAAATCTCCAAATTTTAGCTATCAGATGTACTCCAATGGTGCATTATTGCTCTCCAAAAATATTAATATTTTTTAAATTTTTAATAAATTTTATTTTTTAACTTTTCCCTAACGGCTATATCATAAATAAAAAAATTAAACAATAGAATATTTATTATTAAAAATTATACGATACAACATAAATTTAAATAATACAATAAAAATAAAAAAACAATACAATACGACTTGAACTAAAAACATAAAACAACTAAAAAAAACAGAACAATCATATGGAATGCTTGAGATAATTCTATGGAAAACTTGAGTTGCCACGTGCACGTATATGTGACGACCCTAGATTTTTCAACCCAGTGTGTCTTGTGATGAACCAAAAGAATGACCCGATAACGGATCCAAAATGCGGAAACGAAGGAAACTAAGTGGCCACTAGAGATGTACGTCATCCCTAAGGCATCAAAATGACTCCCCATGGCATGATCAAATTGCATTATATGCTATTGTGTAATGATGTGAACAAACACGCAAGTGTAAAATGGTATTTTAAACATGCTACAATAGCCCATGGCCTTATTACAACTCATTTACAACATTTGACATGTCAGACCTCCAAGTTAGAAAAATTACATTTCATAGACAAATCATGAACATGCTAACACTTGCATGTGAACAATAATGTTTCTAAAGAAGCTCAACTCAGCAAATCACCCAAGCAATTGCAATCTCCAATCTTGTATCCTGTACCTGAAATATGCCCCAGTATCGTAGGGGTGAGTAACATAAAGCTACTCGTAGGAAATGAGCATGCATCGACCTACGTTTTACAAGTGTACATGATTTAATCATTGTGGTTCATTCCACCTAACATCTATGTCAAAGGTGAGACTCAGGGAGCATCCTAACTACCTAAGATCATTTCTAGCATAAAACACATCATTTATGCAATTTCAACAACACAAAAGCATGCTACACATAGCAACAAGATATAACATGCTTACACAAAGCAACTAGTTAGAAACATGCTTACACGAAGCAACCAGATAGAAACATGCTTACACGAAGCAACCAAATATAGATTCTCAAAGTTATCAATTTGAAATCTAAATATTAAATCAACTAAATATAGCAATTAGTATGGATGTACTTAACAACATCAAATCGCCAATAGCCAAAACCACAGTCACAATATAAACATGATTGATAACTTGGAATTGAATGCGAAAACAAATAGTGGAAGACTTGGACATCACGTCTCGGATTAAACCAAGAACAAATTGGTTATTCCGGTCATTAACCCGCTGGGAAGACCACCCTAGTGCGCACTATCTCAATTGGGGAGAACTCATACCTCCCGCACTAAAGCCGAACTTTAGCCATATCACAGTAACAATGTCCCAAGACTCCAAAATAATCAAATAAGTTCACAACTTATACGTAATTTATATAATGCATTAAGTCACCTTCCATGCACAAGTAGATTGTATCCACACAACACATGCTCTAAATCCACAACTACTATAGGATGACAATGTCGAATCTTCAAAGTGCGATTCGTTAAACGTTATAACAATATAATCCAATATTGAAAACATAAACTCATAGATTCATTATAAGTCAAAAGTCATGCTTTAAACATATTATCAATGTCAAATACATGAGTTAATCAATAATACCATAGAAACAGAATTTAATCTATAAACTAATTAAATTCCCTAGATTTCAAATCTTAATCAAACGACCTCCAATTAATACTTGATAAACAATATAGCATGGTCATTACATACACCACATCAAAACTCGATTAGGTCATAAGAACAATAAAGTGGAATTTAATTAAATCATGATAATCAAATCCCTAACTTCTAAAACAACATCAAATGGTTCCAAATTAACATATGCTAGAACATAAATCATAGTTATCACAAATATCAAGTTAAACACTTAATTAGGCCAATGGAACCCTTAATTAGATTTTAATTAATCATTTTAATTAAAATCTCTAGATTTTCATACTTGTCCAAATGCTCTTAAATTAAAGTATGTTAAACAACATGCCAAGACATAATTTAAAAGCTTATCACAAGTCAATTTCATGTAAGGTACGGCCATGAGATTTAATCTTTCACAAAAGATAAATATTAAATAAAATATGCAATTTTTATTCAATCAATACCAATTTAATATATATTAACAAATATATTAAAACATGATTTTCTAGTATACCAC